AATACATCATATATTTAAATAAAACACTAGAATGTTTCAACAATAAAATAAAAGACAAAACACGATAATTGTTTCGACCTATTTCGTTAAGAGTACAGAAATGCAACTAATAGGTAATTGTCGAATTGTTTTTCATTGTGTTTTATTTAAATATTCAATATGTTTCTTCTTACGTACACCTACGATAGTCTTAATATCCCATGAAACTTCTCAAGTCAATCATCTATGTATATCACTTGATAAAATTAATTATACTCACATAAAAGAGATACGAGTATACAGCAAAACTATATTTTACCCTTCACTGTCGTCATTTACGGTGGCGTATGTTGGCTTCACCAGTCGAAACGAACAGCGTGTCTAGTACATGGTCGAAGTTTGGAGTATATATACATTAGCACTTCAGGTATATATACTTTAAGGGTTTTAGTTAGTTTAAGTTGTCCTGATTTGATACTTGGAAGTGTTGTAATATACGAAGAAATTTCATGGAGGGTATCGTAGACTCTATTTTTACCCATTTTTTAGGGGTTCTGCATTTCTTGAAGATTAGTTGTTTTGAGAATAAAGTTGTCCTCATTTGAAGTGTAGTCAAAGCAACTTTCCCAACTATATTATAATCTTCAAGAGATGAAAAGAATTCATGCTCTTCATCGGGTGTTTATTTATTACCATAAAAAAATTTCTTGGACGGCTACTCATGAGGAGTTTCAAAATTATTAACTGTTATATTGTTATAACTGAGCTGGTAAATTTTGTTATAAATATTTTATTTCAATTCTAAATAATTGTACCTATGGTGTGTAGTTACCGCATCATGATTGATATAAAGAATAATTGTTTATTAAATCTTAGGGAACAAGAAAGAAATCGAGAGAAAGAACGTTATACCGTCAATTTTAGTCCTAGAGCGTTTCTAGAAGAGTTCCCTGATCCTGAGGAGTACTTTCGAAATTTAATTCGTGATAATCCTTTCGTGGTAGTTTTAGAAGAAAACGCTACAGCAGTTAATGAAGAGGATATAAAAGCAATTATCGAAGAAAATTATGCGTTAACTTTTCTCCTTAATCACTATGTTTACCATAAAGAAAGAGACATTAAAAGAATTTTTAATTGCAAAAATAAAAACTTATATTTTACTTGTCAGCGTCTTGACATCGTTCCGAAAGCCCTTAAAAAACCTAGAAAAACGATTCCGGAAGGAGATGTTCCTGACAATATACCTCTACTACAAGAAATTGCATTTTTGAAAAATAAAAAACTGCTATTATCATTGATTAAGAATATCAATGACAAGCATCAACAGAGTAGAAGAGAAGCAATAGAAAATAACTTGCTTCAAACGTGCGAGTGTTGTTTCGATGATGAGCTCATACCGGAGGAATGTTTTTTTTGTAACGATGGGTGTATATTTTGTAAACCTTGTATTAAAAAAGGCGTAGAAACATATATAGGAGACGGAAAGCTACACTTTCCCTGTTTAGGAAATTGTGGAAGTGAATTTGGGCTTTCTACTTTACAGGTAAACAATATTGTATTGGATATTCAAACCAGTAATGTATCTAATTCTTTTAAAAAATATTCTAAGTTCCTATATTTTTCAATTTTTCCTGAGGTTTTGGAAATTTTGAGTTTTGAATGAGAGCAATCTAGCATTCTGAAGTCACTGCTGGAAGCAATTTTTTTAAAATAAAAGAAGTATGCTCAAAATTAAGCTAAATAATTTCAGAAACCCTACATAATAATTATCTACACTCCTTTTTTTTCGAAAAGGTTACCTTTTATTGCTTATTAGATTAATTTTATTTGTGCTTAAACTTTGATAGGTATAGAAGTTTAATTAAAAAAAAGAATGTTAATGAATGTACTGTGCACCATAAAGTTAAAAGAACTTTTTTTTTATTTCCTGATTAGTCACAACTTGAATTTAACTAAAATGTGAAATCTGAACAGAAAAGTTGTACTAGTGGAGAATAGCTTGAAAATAAGGTTATGAAGAATTAAAAATGATTTGGATTTATAAAAGTTCTAGTTAGTTCTAGAGTGTATTTGATTATATGTTCAAATTTTGTCCAATGCATTATTAGTATTTAACTATTGCTTATTTAGATGGTTTTGGATCCGCCAGTCTTTTCGAAAATGTTCCAACGTAGACAACTTGAAGAGATTAAGAAGGCGAATATTGACGGTTTGGAAATGTGCCCATTTTGTGAATTTGCTACAATACCGGCAGAAAATGACAAAACCTTCCGATGTGAAAATCCAGATTGTCTAAAGGAATCTTGTAGAAGTTGTTGGCATGAATCTCATATTCCCTTAGCTTGTAATGAAATAGAGTTTGATGAAGACGTCAGACTGAGGACATTTATTGAGAATAAGATGACTGAAGCACTTTTAAGGTAAAAAAAATAGTCATAATTGTAATAGCGTTAATTGAAATAATCAAAAGTCCTGCTGTATCTGCATACTATATGTATTAATTAAATTGCAAAACTATGGAGAGAATCAGGNGGCGTTTGCATGGTTCGATTTCTATACTTATCTTTAATGATTATTTTTCTTTGACCTATATTATTTTAAAAATGCGATTTGAGTTTCACAGCTTATTTTCGGAATATTCGCAACAATGTTTTTAAGCCTGGTTTAGGAATGTCTACTATAATTAGGGTTGTCACCTTTTTAGGCTTTACATAAAGTATTTATCGACTAAAAGGTTAAAAAAAAAGTACTCAGCATAAAAGTAAAGTATTTTATTTTTTGTTTTTAAACATAATTTTTGTTACATCTAGCAGCCAGTAACAAATTGCTGTCGCTCTTAAATATATTAATAGCCTCTAAACAAGGCAAACAAAGATTTAAATAAACTAAAACTTCATTTTTAATTAGTTTTAATGAAGCTTTATTCCTGTCGTCCCGCCACTTTGCGTTCATAACAGAGAAAATACTCTTTCTGTAAATGCTGAAGTGGCCGGAACGGAAAGCAAAAGTGACATTACCTTGAACAGATTTGGGAAATCAGGTAGTTCCGTAAATATGGCTTGTTATTTTTGCTGTGCAATATTATTTATGTAAAAATACTCTGAATTTCGAATAATCGCTTACAAAATTACGATGTTTACTTAAGGCCTTAAATAAAGTATTTTTGCGTACTTTATGTGTCTTGTAAAATATAACGTACGCACAGTCGAAATAAAGTACAATACTTTATAATAAAGTACGGGTGCCAACCCTAACTATAATTATAGCCGATATGGTAGCGGTTACCGGGCCGTCAAGATCTAAAAATTTCGCTATTTTGAAACAAAAAAAAAAACATTCGAACCCCACGGTTAATAGACTACTTCGTCAACGGTTAATTAGCTGTTATTTATTAGCCTGGTTCTGACTTTCTAGGATTTCCTAACCGATTTTAAAATTTTTGTATTCTAATAAGTTGGCATACAAACGTATTTTCGGGTTTCCCGAATCGCGGTTAATTTTTGGCTTTCACGGCTAATTTACGTCTAATTATTCTACGATTTTTATTTTTGCCTGCTAATTTTGCCATGCCAACTTCAAAGAGATGGCCATATTCCCTAGTGCAAAATTGGCACAAATAATTTTTTTTATTCATCTAATAGCGTTCAAAAGCATCATAGGCTTCTGCAAATTTTGGAAAGTTAAGTTAATTGCTGCACGAAGCTCCTTTACGGCTGGTATCGCGTTTGCTAGGTTTTATTTTGTATGAAACTTCAAAAGAGAAAATTCAGAATTAAAAGATTCGGAGATCGAGGGTCCATCTTACAGGTCCGTAGGCACCAATATATCTTTGAGGAAACTGCGGTATGAAGGTTATAAACAGAAGAATTATCATCAGGAGGCAAGACATGAAAAGATAACCTAATATTGCGCAAAGTGCTCAGTGTAGCTCACTGCGCATCTATGCGTATGTGTACCTCCGTCCGCATGCTGCGTTATTGTTTACGTAATGAAGTCTATGATTATGTTTGTTTCCTAAACTGTCAATAGTTTTCTTGATGTAAACAAATAATGCGATATATGGAAAGGGGTACATACTTGCGCAGTGAGTCAAAGTGAGCACTTACGGCAATTTTACATAGTTACCTTATCACGTGTCCAAGCCCTTGCTGATAACGTTATTTGATGTAAATCATTACCCCTTAGGTCTAAAGTGATACTTCTATCTATAGTTTTCTTGATGGGTCATTCTATTTTTTGCTGTTTCCCTTTAATTTGTAATAATGAAATTGCGACAAGAGTGTTGTATTTTTTTATTAAACTTGACGTACCCCTAAATCACGTATGGATGCAGGATGACTTTTTAACAATTCATTGTCATATTATTATATGTATTATTACTTGAGATGCGAACCGGCAAAACTACTACGGTTAATGTTTCATGTCTTCGTTCTGGTGGTTTGTCTTTTCTCTTTTCTGTGACAGAATTCCTGGCACTGCGGGTACCCGGCCGAACCCTAAAAATGTCCCGGATTCGCCGGGTACCGGTTCCAAATTCCTATTACATACACAGCGTATAAACGAAATATTATTTCCGTCACACCATAAGTATGAAATCTATTAAATTATTGATAGGCATGAATCCATATTTTAAATTTATTTTCAAAATGGAAATGGGTAACCTTTGATAATGTCGTGGGTGCAATACGTCCGATGATGTTTGTGTCTGTTTGCTCGCAACGACTTACGACAATTTTAATAATAGTACCTAATATATTAAAACACTTGGTTTTATTTCACTTTTTATTTTAAAAAGATGAAGCGTGAAAAGAGAAATGTATTCGGCTTTTTTTCATGACACACAATTTACTTCGCAGAAAAGATAGGGCGCTAGGACTATTGCATATAAGATTTTGAATTTCTTTTTGAAGATGTTTTGAAGTTAAAAGTTTTTTTCTTAATAAAATAAATTAGCTGAAGCTAAAGAAGTACCTTTCAATAAGTTATTAAAACAAAATAACACCATATATTTTTTATTTTAGGGATTAAGAGCAACATTTTTTATATAAAACTGACATCAAAAATATAAAATATATCAGAATGACCGAGAGGAATACTGAATATTTTAGTACTTTACGAGAAATGTTCCCTTACACGGATCCCCATGTCATTAAAGTTATTATATCACTTGTTACCGAGAATACAGCAAATTCTACTCAGGAAAATATATATGAAAGACTGATTGATTTACTAATTCAGAGTGGAGGAAGTCCCCATGGAAATTGTTGTACTATATCAGAAAACCAGATAGAGTCTTGGTATTCTAGTTTATTAAAAATATTTCCTGATGTATGCCCCAAATTCCTTAGGAGTTATTTACAAAGTAAATCACATTTAGTCAATTTCGACGAAGTACTAGATGATATTTCTAACAGTAAGTTTTATTACACACTTATCTTTACAATGTTGTGAGAGCACTAATTTTTAGTGACATATCCGAAGAAAAAGCCAGATCCCAAATCTGTTCTAAAAATTTTGAAGGAAACTTTACCCAATGCTGATCCATCTTATTTGGAAAAAGAAGCAAACTTTTTAGCATATCAGTCAGAACAGGAATTAAAAAAATTTGTGAATGAAGCTATAGAAAATGAAAATTATCCAAAAATGGACGAATATAAGAAGTAAGTTAAACATGTTTGATTTTATATAATTTTGTTTATGGTTTATTAAAATTTATACCGGTACAATTAAGTTAATTTGGTAATGATATCAAAATTAACAACCAGCTCTCCGATTTCCTTAAAATTTTAAATATTATGTACTTGAAGATGTTGGACAATAAAGTATATATATATATATATTCTACTACAAGCCCATGCTAAAAATCTAAAGGGTCAAATTACTCACCATAAATTATATATAGAGTTGTAGTACCATACGAGACAACAACTTTAAGCAATATGCCGTTAATTTTGGGCGGCACACCAGAGTATGCAGGTGAACCAATTTTTAAGTTTTGAAGTGGGATATTTTGATAAATTTATTTTGTATNTCTCACCAGTTGCAAGGCGTATCCAAACGGGACACAACACTAAAATTGTCCAAACGGGACACACTAAAATTGTCCAAACGGGACACACTAAACTGATTCTGTTCTAACTGAACACACACTTATGGCTATCCAAACGGGATACCTGGTGGTAATGATCCAAACGGGATACTCACAATGATTTTTTCTCTTTTTTCCTCTTCCAAGACGGCTGCTCTTCCAAACGGGAAGTCCGTACGACGAAGAATTTTCAATTTTCGGCTTCCAAGACGGTATTCTTCCAAACGGGAAATCCGTACGCTGATGCCAATTACACACGTCCAAATTGAATTTTTCTTTGAAAGCTGCTTTCAAAATCCGGCTCGAAGGACCATGTTTGTTCTCTTGAGGAAATTTTTGTGTTGAGTGAAAGATAACTTTCTTGTATCCTCAAGTCGCACGCTAAATTAATGGCGAGCGATCTAGTTATTGCTTTTCGGAATTGAAAACACTTGCTTTTAAATTAACTATTTATTTACATATGTACAAAATGAAACGTGTGTGATTTAAACTTAAAAAACAGATGAAAAAACAGATAAAGGAAATTAAAGTGGCTAATGAATCTATCTTTTTTCGTTCTAGTTCTTGATCTTTATGAATCTCTCTCAAATGAGCCGTTGCAACCCCTTTTATTAGGAATGGTTGACAGAAACCACCCCACTCTGGTCATACACAAAAAAAGGTCGAGCATACAAACAAACAAAACTTTCTCTTAAAACTAGCTCGACGAAAATATATATCTACATGTAAACAAATAATGGCATTAGAAAGCGTGCTTCTTAATTTCTAGCTACCCTAATAAAACAATAAATTTAAATTCAATAATACTAATCCTAGCCTAGCAAAGTGACACTAAAGGGTCGAAGTATACTACACAAAGGAGCTATAAATATATCTAAACATGAAACTTACAAAGAAACTAAAAATAACGAATATCATAAAAAAAGGTTAAAATTAACGAACAAGAGGCATTATTTACACATGCTATAAATTAAAAAGGTTAATACCGACAGGGGTTGCCACGCTCATTAAACATTTACAATTTAACAAAACTTTACTTCTAACAATAGATAAACATAAAACTTAATATTATACGGTGAATACCGAACACTACCTCTAATTAATTAATTATTTTTGGAATGAATCATTTAAATTGTTTGCTAATACATAGTCTCGTGCATTTATTTATTGTTACTCATAATAAATTTACGTGGAAGAAATATTGTTTAATTGGTCACATCAATACCTGCTTATTAACGAAACACGAATAGTTCCCGGAATGCGAGCAAAATTCAAAACATTTACCGCGAGTATCAACAATTTAGGATTTTGTAGTCTTTTACTAACGAAAACCACAAAAATGTTCAAAATTGGACAGTCGTATTTGTTGTCGGTGTGCAATGTTCATATCTACAATTTAATTTCGGTATTGATAAAGGGCGTGTTGCAAAATTAGGTACTCATGTTTGTTTTTCTTTCATCCTGCTAGATAGAGAGAGGGAAGGGGAAGACGTAAATGTTACTACTGAGTAAAGGAATCGGAGTACGGGGGCGTCACCATTGGTATTTTTGTTTATTCTTTATTTCCGAATTGGAAATTTGGTTTTGTTTTGAGCGCTGGTTAATTTTTTTTTATTTAGTATATTTATAACTATAATAAACGTCA